CTTTATTTTTCTTGTGTATTAGCCCATGGATATACCACCTGGAGCACCCAAAAAAAAAATCAAAAAACTTTATAAGGATCTCCGTATTTAGTTTGGGAACCATCACATATACTCACACCATTTTTTTCCCGCCTATTTCCATATCTACATCTCCCTTTTTAGCAATTGCGGCAATTTTTCTATTTTTCGTGCCACCACGTATACTCACACCATTTTTTTCACGCCCGTTTCCTTATCCAGGAACCCTCTTTTAGCAATCACGTCAATTCCTCTATTTTTCGTGTTAATGCTCATGGATCTAGTGCCCGAGCACCCAAATTTTTTTCTCAAAAAACTTTATGAGGACCTCCGTATTGAGTTAGGGAACAATCACATATACTCACACCATTTTTTCACGTCATTTCCGCATCTACAACCCATTATTAGCAATCACGCCAATTCCTCTATTTTTTGTGTATATTATTAGCCCATTGATCTGGCGCACCGAAGCACCCAATTTTTTTATTAAAATAATTTATGAGGACCCCCATTATATTTTGAGTTGAGTAACCATCGCATATACTCACACTATTTGTTTCACGCTCATTTTTGCATCTACAACCCTTTTTTTAGCAATGATGCCAATTCCTCTATTTTTGTGTGTATTAGCTCATGGATATAGCGCCCGAAGCACCCTAAATTTTTTCCACAAAAAACTTTACGAGGACTTTTGTATTGAGTTGGGGAACCATCATATATACTTACACCATTTTTTTCACGCCTATTTCCGCGTATACAACCCCTTCTTTTACCAATCGCGCAAATTTTTCTATTTTTTGTGTGTATTAGCCCATGGATCTGGCGCCTGGAGAGCCCAATTTTTTTTCTCAAAATACTTTATCAGGAACTCCATATTAAGTTAGGAGGTGTGGGGGACCTCGAGGTAGGGCACCTCGGGCTCGGGAGGGGGGGTGGGGGGGCCCTCGAGGGTAGGCGCATCGGGCTCGAGAGGGTGAGGGGGGGATTGAAGCAGGGTGACTCGGGGCTTGGGGGTGGGGGGGTCCTCGAGGCAGGGCACCTCGGGCTCGAGGGGTGGGGGGGCTCGAAGCAAGGCGACTCGGGCTCGAGGGGTGGGGGGGCTCGAGGCAGGGCATCTCAGGCTTTGGGGGGTTGGGGAGAGCCTTAAGGCGCCTGGGGGGCCTCGAGGTAGGGCGCCTCAAGGCTCGAGGGTGGGGGGGGGGGGGGCTCGAGGCTGGGCGCCTTGGGGCTCGGGGTAGGGGGTGGGGGTGAAATATTTTGATCTCTTGGCCAACTTAGCCTTTTGCTTATGTCATAAAAAATCATCAATTTCTTTCTGTACACCAACCAGTTTCATAAATACACGGGACCCACTAAACTTTTCCATTTCACCCATCAATGTTTTATCATTCGTAGATTAGACTTATATTGACATGTAAAATTGGAAAATACAAATAAAGTAAGAGAAATTATTTTGGATTTAATAAGTGAAATTAATTTTGGATTTTTAGTGTATTATTTCTTTCAAAATTATGAGACCTGCTTTAGCTATGATTTATTTATAACTTTATTATTTTGAATGTCGATAATATTTGTATATATTTTATAACTATTTTGAGTAAAAAATTATCGATGAAGAAAAATACTTTTAAAATCATTTAATGTACTACTATATTAATAAAATTTTGTTAGATATTTATTTTACACTTAATGGGATAGTTTAAAATGTTTAGAGGGGAATAAGTGCACACCTCTCCGTCAACATGTGTGCTTCCTCGGGAATAGTATTGATTTAATGATTTTACTTTTATTATTTTATTTATCTATTTTAACAAATCAATACAAGTTTGTTACTTTCATTCAATGCTACTTTTATCCTCAAGTAACGCTATAAAATAATAGTAATCAAAAATAAAATTTTAAAACATAATTAATAATTTTAATTAATAAAATTAACTCTTAATAAAATTAATTTGTCTCATAAATAAATAAATAATATAATCCCTTTTTATGTAAACAGTTTTTGAGAGAGTAAAATTAATTCAATTAAATGAAAAAATGATATAAAAAATAATTACTCAAATAACTTGATAATTAATTATATTAAAAATTATTTAACAAATTATAATTAAAAAAAACTATATAAATATTTAGCACAATATTATTCCCTTTTGTTCATTAGCAGAGTAACGGCTAGATTGAAACAGTAGGAGGAGGAATTGACGACGACCCAGAACAGAATAGGCGTTCGTCTTCATCGCGTTGGAGAATAATCAGACCGGAAAATTGAATGCTTGAGCCGCCAGGAAACGACCAAACTTGTGAGTGTTTCTCTGTTTTTGTTCTCTGTTTGTATAAATGGATTGATTACGGTAGGAAGGTAATTAGAGTACTGCGTTTTTCTCTTTCTTTGCGTTTTTTTGATTACTGCTTCGATGATTTACTTTTTCTTATGTTGGTTATTGGGTTTCTTGCGTAAATTTGTGTATGGAAGGAGGAAAATGTAGGTGGATTTTGTGATTTGTGATTTGGGTTTTTTCTTTCTTGGAGTTTCATGAAAAATGATCGATGTGAAGTGATTTGAGGGTTAATCGATTATCAGTTTAATGGTTAAAAAGTACTATGAATGGAAAATTTGAAACATCTTCCCCCAATTCTGTCAACTTTGCTTTTTGAACATAGTATCATTGGATTATGAATGGAACATAGTATCATTCCCCCAATTCTGTCCACTTTCGTGAAAGCCATTTGTAGCTGTTAATAAACTTCTTCTTAGGGATCATGGAATTATGACTGCTGGTTCTTGTGTCACTGTAAGTTCTGATGATAGATGAATTACTTATTCCGTTGCCTTTCACCTTCTCCTGTAATGTGAAATTTTAAATTTGTCGATCTTCATCTTCCTACATTGTTTTTCTGGTTAAATAGCAGTTGTTAAGTTTCATATATATTATATAATCTCTTGTGTGTTTTTCGAAGCTTTAAGATTACCTCTCAACTTTGTTCTTTTCCATTTGCATTGTTAAAATTCTCTCTACCATAGCTTCTTAGGTAATCTTGAGTGGAAAAAGTGATAATTTCAGCAAATGTGACATTTTATCAAATGCTTGTGACGTTTGTACAATAAATGAAACATTTATAATAAAAAAATCATCAAACGGTCTTTAGTTTTTAGTGATCTTAGCTATTGAGTTAGAATGATCCTAAAGTTCTTCTAATCCGTAAGTAGATTGAACTGAAATCTTATTTGAGGGAAGTGCTCAGTGCTACTAAGTTTAGATAATTCTCAGTTCATTGGACCAGTGACAAACTCTATTGGTGATTTCCAATAGCCTTTGGTATCTTGGATGGGACAACAATATCTCCTTTACCATCGACAGCTTCATCACATCCTTCTGTCAGCACCCAATTTTCCCACTATAGACATATCAAATATAGACAAATTAGTGTGTTGTTGTGTTGTGTTGTGTTGTGTTGTTTACCTGTTTGTCTCTTTCATATTTTTCTGTTGAAGTCTAGTTCCAGAAGAGCTGTTAGGACTGAAATCTCTCTATTTAACAGGACTTTACTGAAACAGTTCAGCAACACTCAGGATCCACATTTATGGATTTGTTCAGTAGGAAATATGCTCGTCCACTGATTGTAAGCTTTACATATAACCCAAGTTTGAACACTTTTAAGAGTTTTGATGATATGTCTGCTACTTCTGCCGATATTCAATATTATTAGATTGGAATCGGGTTAATGGCTCTCATGCAGTTCAGAGGGAACAATGCAATTACTACTTTTGCCAGTTCAATTTTTAGAGCAGCTGGTAAGAAACACTCAGAAATAAACTTCTGTTTTAAGTTGACAGCCTTTTGTTTATAGGCATACATATAAAAGTTAAGATCATTTTACAAGGTTGTTCGGCAGACTCAGCATCTCAAGTCATAGCTGTTCTCCAGGTTCTCAACTCTTACTACTCCAGTTTAATAAAAGACTGTTAAAAAACACTCAAACAATCGTTCTTCATTTCAACTTCCATTTGCAGTCGCGAGTATTATCCTTACAGAAAAAGCTGGAAGACGACTTCTTATGCTGGTAAGGTTAATGACTGTAGGTTCATGTCTCTTATCAAATAAAGTACAATTTTAATAATTTGTGTTGTGTTGTGTCCAATGACAAATTAGGTTGTTGTGTTGCTGATTAGGAAGAGAATTTTTCATGTATTAAAATCAGTATAATTAATACAGCAGCATATATAAGTTATGGATCAATTTATATGACTATATGTTACATATTTAATCCTATATAACTTTAACCAGTACTTACGGCATGGCGCAAGCAGAGATGGATGTCTCTGTCATGTGTCAGCAAGGCACTCAGTGAGAGATGGTTTAGGGTTCCAAGAATAACCCCGTCGAGCCTCTGTTCTGTGCTGCACCTGTTATTGCCATGCAACAAACCTGGGAAGTGATGCAGTTGTGCTAAGATCACTGCCATTCCTCTTCCTGACTTGGAGCATGGACATTTCTCCATCTCACTCAGATATCTTAGTCTCCATGGCTTATCTATGGACACAGTGAGAAGTCTATTCAACATATACAGTTTCTTCTTTATCAATTACTTTATGGTAATTCTATTCTTTCTTCCATTTCTAGGTTAATATGCATCGTTTACTTGCCATCGTCTCTTCAGAGATAATGCTAGAACCAGATTATGACATTTCTTTTCCTGTTGTGATTTGGAATATGCAGGCTTTGGAGCAATCTTGACAAGATTGACAACATTCAACAACTTAGGAAATTGGAGGACTCAATTTCAAAATCTCTTAACGAAATCGCAAAGCATACGGTATACTTAGATCGTGTGTCACTCAACAGTCCATAGCCATTCATCATATTAATTATGACAGATCAAATTTACTTGATTTTCTGGATTTAATTGGAGAAGAGCTCTAGGGCCTAAAAGGTTACTCTACTGTTTTTTAAACTCTTAAACTGCTGAAACCTGGGCAATAGGCGAACCTAGTCCTTCTGGATTCATTATTAAACTGCTGGAACCTGGGCAGTCTTCGTGTGACATTCTAGTTCGTACTAGTAGCAGGTTATCTGACTTAACTGTGTTCTCGCTGTCACTACAATCATGGATTAGATTATATATTAAAATTACCAATGTACATCTTCATCTATAGACTTCATGTTTCTATTGCCTTTTCAGGGATTTTGAGAAAGATGAAGTTCAGGGAAATGTTACTTTCTGACTCAGCAACTAACATGTCAAAACCTGGAACTTCCATTGGAAAGGGACAAGAAAAGAAAGGTGACATTGAACTGAAGTTCTTTGAATTACATGACTTGAAAGCCGTGACAGACAATTTTTCCCCTGATAATAAGTTTGGAGAAGGAGGTTTTGGGCCTGCTTTTAAGGTATTGTTACTACAACCTGGATACCTGCAAGTCTGCAACACAAATATGCGCTCACACCTAAAGAAAATGGAAAGAAATCCCTCCGGAAATAGCCAGATAGTATATATCCTGATTTTAGTTAATGTCTTTGCTAGTTGTACTTATGTTTTGAAGGTGTGATAATTGTTTTTTTGCAATTTCTAGGGTCAATTGCCAGATGGGCAGCAAAGCTGTGAAAAGGCTATCAACTCAATCAAGGCAAGGCATAAGTGAATTCAAAACTGAGAATGACTAAACTCACTTTGTTTTTTAAACAAAATTAATAAAATTCTCCGGGTATGGATACCCTGCCATTTTTTATAGTGATATCTCAATGAGAATAATAGGAGTGTTGGAGTCATATCGATGCTCTGGCAGTAAACTGTAAGCTAATTTCCAAGTGGAAATGATACAACTACAATTAAACAATTGAAAACAAGCTAATAAAGTACTGTGCTTTGCTGTAATGTTTCCAACATATCCATTATTTGTCTTTTGATTGTCGGTTTTTTGATCGAAAATCATAGTAACTTCAATTAGTGGCTAATTATAATGTGCAACGATCAGTAAAGAGCATGCACTGCATCTTTTTGGTAAATTACAAGGTTGTAATGACCACTCTTTGCATTGGCAGTTTGAGATGAGATCATTATTTTTTAGTGCTGGGGAAGATATTCATCCTACTTCAGTGGAACAGGGTATGGATTTACCTTCAAACTTTGATGCTAGGAAAAGCCCCATCCATGGTGATACTGAGCTAGACTTCCAGGCCTCTTCACTGATGCAGCATGGGATTAACGCCTGGCAAGAGCTCTATCAATGCTCAATCAGTCCATGGTGGTAATAATGAAAATATGGATGTGTACCAGGACTTAAAATTCATTCCAACTAGGGCGAGGAGTTAACTTTACTTCAAGCTTCAAACTTCCAATTATCATATTACTTGTTACCTAATACTAATAGATTTTAATATGTGAAATGGTTTATTGCAGAAATATGAGGAGATTGGTGCACCTCAAGTTGAAGTGTTCTGCTACATAATAGACAACACTTACTTCAAGGAGGAGGTATATGATCTTGATTCACAGAACCTGCAGTGGTTAAATTTTGCAGTGACACTAAGACTTATGTATTATGCAGGTGTTGCAAATGGAGTCTGCTGTTTTAAATTACTTGAAGTTTGAAATGACAGCTCCAACAGCCAAATGGAGATCTGTTGCTTTTCAGTATGATGATTTAGGAACTTATTGTTAAGATATACTGCAAGAGGTTTGTTCGAGCTGCCCAAGGACTTAATGAGGTAACCTCTTCACTTAAGGTTGATAATTCTCCAACCATGTTTTATATAGGAAACAGAGTAGATTAAAATTTTATAATCATCTACAGGTTCGTCACTGCAATTGAAACAGTTGGGTAGGCTACATCGCAGAACTCTCTCTTTTAGAATATAACATGCTTTGTTATGCCCCGTCACTCATTGCTGCTTCTGCAATTTTCTTGGCCAAATACATTCTTCTCCCTTCTTCAATGAAACCTTTGGTATGTATGAATTATCATTGTGACAATCATATAAACGGTTATAATGTATTTTCCGTTTCTTATTCTCCTTTCCACAAACATATTCTTATAAAATTTGACTTTTGGAAACTCCTAATACAGAACTCTACCTTGAGGAATTATACTCTGTACCAAACCTCTAATTTACGAGACTGTGTCATGGCACTACATAGCCTTTGCTGCAACAATGACAATTCTAGCTTACCAACAGTCAGGGAAAAATACAGCCAACACAAAGGTAATTTTTGTTTTTGATCTCTTCATCTCATTTCTTCATTCTAGCCCATTCTGACAATGGAGTAAGTGGAATAAAGTCCTAACAAATGTATACTTTCTAGATATAGGTTTGCATAATTCTATTTTAATCAACCCAAAACATGTATATTAGAGTCAAAACTGCACACAGTCTATTATATTGGGATAAATGATCTACCTTCTCAACTCTATTCAAATCATATTAACTGAATAATGACTTTATAGACATGTATGTTTCTGTACATACAGAGTCATCTAGGCAGATGCATACATTTCCTATATTCTAATGTTTGTTTTTCTGAAACAATACAAACTTGTTGCAAAGAAGTATTGCCCTCCAACTGTACCCATAGAGTTCTTCCAGAAGATAAGCAGCTAAGCCAGGGATCTGAGAAGAGGCTGCATCAACTTCAGTATTCCAATTGTCTGTTGGATTAACAACTCATGACATTCAATCTTATATTGCCTTTAACTTGCAGTGTCCATGGAAGATCTTCGTTCTTGGTTTTTCTGGCCTTAGCAGCAGAGAGTATCTTTTTGTTTTGTAATCACTAACATTGACATTGCAGTAGAGTAGTCTCTTGTACACTACTGTTTTTCTCTACCTCAGGGCTCGGGCTGGGGTGGGGGGGCCTCGAGGCACGACGCCTCAGGGCTAGGGGGGAATGGGGGTGTTGTGGGGGGTGGGTGGAGGGGGCTCGAGGCACGATATCCATATATGTTAATACTTTTGCGAACGTTACTTGAACTTCAGTTCAAGAAACTTGGGAAGGGACTATGATAAAAGTTTAAAAGGCTGCCTTTTCCTTATTTTTTTGATAGTGAAAGGTATTTTGTTGAAAACTAAGCCAGCGGGAAAATAGTCAGTTTTGCTTCTGTTTTCTTCTTCTTCTTCTTTGTGAAGCAAGAGAATGGAAGTGGTCCTCTGTGGTAGAGCAGTTTTGCTAGCAAACCTGCCATCTTGATTGCAAGTTTACGTGGAGTCTTGGTCCAGCAATAACAAGTATGCTTCTTTGATGCATTTTGCAATATTGTTATATTTGATCATTTTTGCTCAACTATATTGATGTCTTTGCTGCTAGGCTGCTTCAATTCCTGTTGTCTTGGTTGAGAATAGTGGCAGATGTAACAAGAATGAAAGTGACGAAAAGGTTTGGGTTATTCATCAATTCATTTCTATTAATAAATTTATCATCCTTTGGCAAAGCTTTTCCGTGTACTAGCGGTAGTTGAATTTTGAGAATGGCATAATCATTTTCCGTGTACAGGAAGGAGGAGAGGCCTGAGTACTGAATGTGATGAATAGCCCACTCAGAGATAAATACGACCTGGGTGCTGGAGATGTTTAGTAAAGAAAGGTATCTTACTAATCGGCATGTTTGTTGGGGTATTGTCCTGAAAGTTGTCGTGGCCAAGCAGGCGCTGCTGAGTTGTATTTTTTACAGGGTCAAGAATAACAGCCATCCATCCACTTGGTATATGTTGCATCCAACTACTTATACTTTTGACACATAGTTTACACACAATATGCTTTGGTTTTAAAATCATAATTCTGATGTGATTTCATTCTCTTTGTATGTGACACCCGCATTGAGACTCATCCAGTCATCTTTGAATTTCGAGTTGGTTGAAACCCAATTGATATTCATCGAGTCAGCCTCATCTTATTCGAGTGAAAGGGAAGCAAGCATGCAAGAAATGGAGTTGATATACAGCTGACATACCTGTTATACAGGTGTAAAATGGGATGTATATGTCCAATATACAGGAGAAGTAGATGATATAAGCTATTTAGCTTTAGTTTGATTTAATTAAAGTATCCTTAATTAAATTCTTCTAAAGATCCCAATTTTCTTTTTTACGTTGATTTACTTCACCTAATAATTTAAGGGATACATTTGCTTTTCTTTACTTTAAATAACTTCTTTTAATAGTTGATCAATAATTTAACCATATTGATTAGTTAGTTGCGAAAAGCATTTGATTAAAATTAAAGTTTTAGTTAAGTGTCAATAACTTCTTAATATTAAGTCAACTTTTTGAAAAGTATTTTTCTCAAATTATTTTTTGTTTAAAATATTTCAGGTTGGCGCCTCGAGGCGGGGGGTAGGGGTCCTCGGGGAACGGCCCCTCGAGGTGGGGGGGTAAGGGGTATGGGGGGTAGGAGTCCTCGAGGCATGGCGCCTCGAGGTGGGGGTATGGGGGGTAAGGGTCCTCGGGGCACGGCGTCTCGAGGAAGCGGTATGGGGGAAGGGTAGGGGGATAGGGGTATGGGGTATGGGGGCACGACACCTCGAGGCGGGGGTAGGGGGTATGGGGGGAGGGGTCCTTGGGGCACGGCTCCTCGAGGAGGGGTTAGGGAGTATAGAGGGGTAGGGGTCCTCGGGGCACGGCGCCTTGAGGCGGTCTTAGGGGGGTATGGGGGTGTAGGGGTCATCGGGGCACAGCGCCTCGAGGCAGGGTAGGGGGTATGGGGGGGTAGGGGGTATGGCGGGGTAGGGGTCCTCAGGGCACGGCGCCTCGAGGCGGGGGTAAGGGGGTATGGAGGGTAGGGTTCCTCGGGGAACGGCGCCTCGAGGAGGGGGTATGCGGTATGGGGGGGTAGAGGTAATCGGGGAACGGCGCCTCGAGGCGGGGGTATGGGGTGTTGACACCCAATTTTGGACCTCCACAATATAAGTTAATTAATGAGCTTCTTCAATTTCTAATGATTTAAAATAATTAGTTTTATAAAAATTTCAGAAGATTTTATATTTTTAAATACTTTATTAGCAAGGGTCATAATTTTGAATTAATAAATTTTATGAAATCCAAAATACTTACAAGTTATTTTTAGAGTAATATTATCATTTTAATAATTTTAATAATTTTAATAATTTTAAATAATAAATATGTATATTTTTTACAATCACGTTATTTTATAAATATTTGAAAATCATCACAAAGATTCTACATTTTAGTTAAATATTTTATGACTTTAAGTTATGGTTTCGAGTTAATTAGTTTTTAATTAAACTAATTATTTTATAATAGAAATAATTTTTTATTTCGTTAAGATTAAGAAACTCATTAATTAATTCATATTAACTCATCTTGTTTGAATTTTAGCCGAATTCACTAATTAAATTCAATTTGGCTAATTTCTTAATTTTAATTGGCTACAATTGCAATCCTTAACCATCCTCTAATATCAATTCCAACCCACATTTAAGATCAGTTTTGGGCCATTTCAAGAGACCCAATTCAACAATTCTAGCAGTCCACTACTTTCAACAGAAACCCGGCCCAACCCATTTTTTTTCAACACCAAAGAAACCCATCAGCAAAGCCTCTCCAACAACAAAACCAAACGACCCCTGTACTCTTCGTTCTTCTTCCCTTTTCACGCAGAAATTGACCCCACTGCCCATACTCGTCTTTCCTTCCGACGCTAAG